TCTGAGTTTGCAGGACCGCCATGCAGGCCTCCCCTGAGCTGCTTGTCAGATTATCATGTGGCCCCTGATTCCCGGGTACCAGCTCTTCACCATCCTTTCAGTTGCCGTGGTTCGACAGGCTTTCTGCGCGAATGGCACCGTCACTTCCCAGCGGGAAGTCTGTCTCCACATGGATAGGCCCATGTGTGCAGGCTGTGCCACGCAGCAGGACAGGGAGCCGGCTGTCCTAGGGGCCTGTGGCCACCACGTGCCCAATGTGGGCTGCCGGAGACCCCGGGCGTGCTTGTGTTGTCATCAGAGATAAGCTGAGGTCCTAGGGGAAGGCCAGTGAAGGGGGCTGGAAGGAGACTGATGGAGCCAGTGCTCACTGCCACAGCATCAGAGAACCTGTGGTAGAAGAAGTAATAAGCTAACAGGAATCAGGGATGGTTGGCGAGAGGAGGGCTAAAGAAGCTTGCAGTTGAAGAAGGTGTGGCAGGGCAGTGGGCTCCCCTTGGGGCTAACCGAAGGCCGGGGTCACTGGAATAGAGGAAGGGCAGGGCAGGGTAGCGAAAAGAGAGGGGTGGCTATGAGATTTTCCACCTGGTCAGCCTCTCTCCCTCTACCCTGCTTGGATGCTGGGGGATGTGCTGAGGGTGTCCCGTGTCCATGCATGGCTCCCCAGCGCTCAGCGATGCAGACCCTGAGTGTTTAAGCATCTCTTTGCAGACCCCTTCCTCTACAGTCTTTGAGAAACAGGATGGGGTCCCTCAGGCCAGGATAATGGATTCCTCTTTTTGTTTGTTTTTTTGTTAATCTTCACCCAAGGATATTTTTCCCCATGGATTTTTAGAGAGAGTGGAAGGGAGAGGGAAGACAGAGAGAGAAACATTGATGTGAGAGAGGCACATTGATTCGTTGTCTCCCGCACTCGCCCTGACCAAGGCCAGGATTGAGCCTGCAACTGAGCTACGTGCAAACCCGGGACCCTTCAGTCTGCAGGCTGACACTCTATCCACTGAGCCAAACTGGCCAGGGCAGGACAGGTGCATACTGAATTTTTAAAAAGATGAATACACCATTAATAAAAGGATTCATTCTCTTTGTAATAAATTCAGAGTGTGGGAGATAAGGCTAAATTTGGTCTCGTTTGTTCACAACCCCCAAACCAGGCTGCTTTACCTCTCCCTCAGATTAAGCATTCCTGTGAATCGGTGTGCTCACACCCACTCGCGGCCAGCGGTGTAGTGAACTTTGCGGGGGGAGCACGCTGTACCATCTGCTGGATGTTAACCAGATAGAAAAGAAGTATTTCTCAAGGAAAATCAAAGTCTGTGGCCACGCGTGGGCTCGAGAGTGGCTCCCTCCACACACGGCGGCTCTCTCGCTGCTGGGAAAAGGACTTGACGTTGAACAGCTTTAGGCGGGTCAGGCCTGTAACTGCTGTCAGCCGCTCATGATGCAGCCGTGAGGAGCCATGGCTCCTGGAGATGTGAGCGCCCCAGTGTCAGTCCCAGAACCAGTTCCGCTAGCTCCATTCCTCCCACAGAAACTGCTGGCCCTGGCAGAGGACGGACCGAGGAAGTGGAGGAAAGGAGCCTTAAGGGTCGGGAGAGGGTGGAGTCAGCCTCGATCGCGGGAAGTAGCCGCTGAGGGCAGGTCACTGCACACCACTCGCTGTGAGACTGGCTTGGGAATGCAGGGCTCTTGCTGTGCAGAGCACGCTCTGGGCAGCTGTGAGGTCTCCGCCCTCCGAGGGACTCGTGCTCTCCTGTGACGGTGCCATGTCAGTTCCGCTCGGGGAAGGGTGTGGCCCTGGCCTTGGCCCTGGCCCTGGCGGAGGGAAGAAGATGAGCTGTGTCCACTTGCATAGGTGTGGCCAGTCAGCCAGCTTCCCGGCATGTCAGAGCTCCCGGGCCCTGTGTCTGTGCAGCTGACGATGTGGTGGATGAGTCCCCCTGAGTTCCCAGCGGCCCAAGAGAAGCCCAAGAGATGAGTTTGTGTTTTATGGCAGCGATTCTCAACCTTCCTATCTCATGGCGTATAAACTAGTTACTAAAATTCGGCAGCACACCAAAATGTATTAAGTAGCTTTTGCTGATCTGACAAAAAATAGGTATAATTTGGATTCTTTCACACTGGCTGGCTATTGTTGTGTTGGCTGTTGTCATTTTTTATGTGACAATTTCACGGAAAAGACGTCAGTGGCCCTGACTAAACAGTCAGGTATTGCAGGTGTTAAACATGCTGTGGCCACTGGTTGAGACCGCTGCTCTAAAGGGAGGCTGCACGGGCACCCTAAGGACTTGTACCAGGTCTATACTTCACCTACTGTGCGCTGTGCATGCGCTCACCTGGGCACCTGTTGGAAAAGCAGGTGAGCAGGTCACTCCAGACTCACTGAGTCAGAGCCTGTCTGAGGGTGGGGCTGGGGTTCTGCCGCCCAGCCTGAGAGACCCGCTGCGTGCTGGGGTTTGAAAGGCGCTCCCGGAAGGGGTCAGGTGTGAAGGTCAGATGCACTATTCTCAGGAAGAGAAACCACTGCTTCATATCAGCTCCTTCAGAAATGGTTAAATCTCCATAATAAAATGGACAAATGTAGTAAAGGAGGGCAGTGAGTAATAATGACAAATAATCCTATATAATAAAAGCCTAATATGCTAAGTGTCCAGTCAGCCATTCAACCAATCAAAGTGCAATATGCTAATGATATGCTAAGGCTGCTCAACCGCTTACTATGATGTGCACTGACCACCAGGGGGCAGACAGTTGACCGGTTGATCAGCCACTATGACCTGCACTGACCACCAGGGGCAGATGCTCCCACTGGTAGGTTAGCTTATTGCTGGAGTCTGGGTGATCGGGGACTGAGCAAGATGGGCCAGACATGCCCTGGAGCCCTCCCGCAGCCCCTCCCTGGCTGGCCAACTCCTGTGTCCCTCCCCAGCCCCGATCATGCACCAGTGGGGTCCCTTGGCCTGGCCTGCACCCTCTCACAATCTGGGCTGAGGGACCTACGCCCCCCCCCCCCAGTGCATGAATTTCGTGTACTGGGCTTCTAGTAATGAAATAACAGTAATATAGCTAGCATTTATTGACTATTCCCTAGGCCCCAGATTCTGTGCCAAACGTGTATATTCTCTATCTGATTGTACTCTCCTAACAGCCAATGAGTTATGCATTACCTCCATTTTATCAGTCAAGAAATTGAGTTCAGGAATGTGAAGTAATTATAGGGAAGATGCAGACTCCGACATCTTGCAGCCCTGTATCCACAACACTGTACAACCTGGCTACTGTGTCATTAGAAATCAACTATATGTTGCATAAATTTGGTTTTATGTCTTTTTGGGGGACAGGATCAGCATTTTATGTTGTCCCTTTTGTCCTCTGTTCCTAGCAGAATGCCTACACATAGTAGGGACTTGCTATGGAACTTAACTGAATCAAAGGAAACACGCTTGCTCCTGGTTCAGGAATGAGATGTAAGACTTGGGATGAGATTGAATTGAGGAAGTGGTGTCATTTCTGGGATGACAAGCTCCAGTCGGGAGGTAACTGATGGGTAGAAGCAGAGGATGCCGGAAGTAACGGGGTGCTGTATCCCCTGCTATGCAAAGTTCTATTTCTAATGTTTTATCGCACTTTTGGGACAGTTATAAACAATGTTGAATCATGGCAGTGGTCATGGATATCTGTTTCATTCCTAGTTTAAGGGATTGCATTTATCATTAACTGTGGGTTATTATTTCAGACAGCCTTTATTCCGTGAATGGAATCAGCTAGTTCTAGCTAACTGCAGCGATCTGGTGGTTTTCCCCTTTGCCCTGTAAATAGGATGACTATTTTAACAATAGATTTTCTAAGATTGAACCATCTTTGCATTCTTGCTAGCAGTCATTATATATTAGCCTTCTAATACTTAGCTTAATTCAACCCAATATATTACTTTGGATTTTTTTCACAAGTGAGATGGTTGGCACTGTATCCTTAAGATCTGTACAACTCACAAGATCTACACAACTTCCATTTTCTCATCTTCTTCCCTTGGCTACTAATGAACTTCTTCCTGTTTCTCCAGCCCGATGTATCGCACCGGGATGTGGCCAGCACCTACACCTCCTGCCCTCTGTTTTCTTCCCTTCTCCAGGCTGTGCTCTTGACTGAGGAGGGAGCCACTATTTTTCCAGTCTCTTCTCTATGGGCTGTTTGGGTTCTGGGTACACGTGCTGCATGGATGATGGGTGTACCTTGGTTTAGTGGACATCTTTTTCTCTTCTGGCTCTTTTTTTTTTTTTTGAATTGAGTAAAGTTCACATAACAGAAAAAACGGCAGTTAGTACGTTCATAGTGTGCACATAGCCATCATCTCTGTCTAGATCCAAGAAATTTTATTGCCTGTAAAGGAAACCACATACCCATTAAGTAGTCACTCACCACTCTCCCCCTACCACACCCCCTGGCAACTGCTAGTCTGCTTTCTGTTTATGAGAATGACCTGGTCAGGATGTTTCACATCCGTGGAATCATACAATACGTGAGCCTTTGTGTCAGGCTGCACACATGTTTATAGCAGCCCTATTCACAATGGCCAAAGGTGGAAACAGCCGAACGCTGGCCAGCTGAGGAGTGTGAGCAAGTGGCCTGTCCGTACAATGGGCTGTTAGCATAAGGGAAGCGCTGGTGCTACAACATGGACGAGCCTTGAGAACGTGGTGCTAAATGGAAGGTGCCAGTCTTCCCGTGGCCTCTGTGGGAACACGCTCAGAGAACGGACAGTCAACCTTGAGGGTGGAGGGGGCGAGTGCAGAAAGTCAGCAATCCATTTTAGACCAATACAGAGCAGAGCCCACATCTCATCAGTTTGTCTTGCTTTGCTTACATCTTAGCTATTGAGGTTAATAAAATAAAATTGCCATGAAGTGAGTGTGGTGCCAAGAGACAGGCTCTACAGCCATTGCCCGTTGGTGCTTAAACGTTCTGGGCGCTATTCATGCTGAAAGTGCTTTCTCTCTTTTCAGTAAGAGATGCTAAAAACCTTGTCCCCATGGACCCCAATGGCTTGTCAGATCCCTATGTGAAACTGAAACTCATTCCTGACCCCAAAAGTGAGAGCAAACAGAAGACCAAAACCATCAAGTGCTCCCTCAACCCCGAGTGGAACGAGACATTCAGATTGTAAGTTGACATTATTGCAGCCCAGCATGGGGGGTGGGCCACCTGAGGTGGGGAGTTCCTCTCC